AAGGGAGGGGAGATACGGAAGAATAGGAAGATGGAAAAAAATGACAGTTTAGATTTTAATATTATCATTACAAACTTATAAACAGGAATCATAATGCATCTTTTGAAAAAGGTGGCAGTAGAGAATAGATCGGGGAGAGCAAAGCAATTAATAGAAGAATAGGTGAGGGAGTAAGTGACTAGATGAATGAGTGGATGGATGGATGCATGGATGCATGGATGGATGCATGGATGGATGCATGGATGCATGGATGGATGCACGAATGGGTGGATGGATGCATGGATGGATGGATGGATGAAAACAAGGGACCAGTTGAGAGAGTGCTTCTACAGACCATGAAGAGATACTGGCCTGGGACAGCTACAGGATGGATAGACATGAGTTGGGCATACAGAGTGCAATGCTCAGACTTCCGGCCTGAGTAATTGGGTAAATACTAAGATGGAGAACAGGTGAGGTAAACATATTAATAATAATAAGATGAATGTTTTAGATGATCATGAAGTATCTAAGAAGAGCACCTACTAACTAAGGAATTAGCGGGACTTAGCAGAGATGGGGCTGGCTACATTGTTTTGGGGCCGTCAGCCTACGGAAAACAGTTGAGGCACTCATAGTAGATGAAATCACCCTGGAAAGCATGCAAGTGAGTAGAAAGGAAAAAACAAAAAGCGCAAGATTAAACATAGAAGAATCGAACCATTCATAACAAAGAATACATAAGAGAAAACCAATAAAAAAAGGAAGAAACCCAACTGAGTGTGGGATCATAGAAGCCAGTGGAAATGCATCCTTAGAAAACAGTGGGTGACTATTATCAAATGGTGATTAAAATGAGATAAACTAAGAGTCAAAAGGAAGTTTTACATTATGTTCAATGTTAATATTCATATGCTATTCAATAATGGGTTGTTTCATTTTCTTGAAACTTTGTCTGCTTTTAATAATTTTATTTTTTTCTAATTTTGTAATTTTAATTTCCCATAGCACCTTGGCAATGTTGAAAACAAATACAAATACAAAGATGTTCATTTTAACATGTTATGCATGAGAATATGCCACACCATTTTGGGAGTGACAGTTTTGACAAGAGAAACAAACCTAAGCTATGGACAAAATAGAAGCCAGATAACTGGTTCTGACACCCCATTCCCCCAACATTTAAAATACAGCACTCAAGGTACAGCTGACTCAGTTTTTTAAAAAAAATTGACGCAGATATTTTACATTACTAATCAGTGTTCTATGCTATAAAACTGAAAAGGAGAGCATGTAATACACAGCTTATACATGTCTGAGTTGCACTTTTTGGAACTATCTACTCAAAAACTCATCAAAAGTTAGTTTTAAAAATAAACATTAAACTATTTAATAATCAGGTTACTTTAAAGGGAATTTAAAGTGTCCTCATTCAGCTAATGAAAGCTGAAATGTCCACGTGTCTTCTTGAAAGATCAGACTAGCTATTCAGCATATACCAGAGTCTAAAGTTAAATTAATAGCCACCAAATTGTAAGGAAATATAAAAAATTAGAAAAAAAAATATCATGTATTATATTTATATATTTAAGAATTGATTTTGGAGGGCAGGCTGGAGAGAGGGCTCAGCAGTTAAGAACACTGACTGTTCTTGCAGAAGACCCGGGTTCAAATCCCAGCACCCACATGGCAGCTAACAACTGTCCGTAACCCCAGTCCCAAGGGATCCGACAGCCTCTTCTGTCCTCCTCAGGCATTGCACCACATGGGTGCACTTACCTACATGCAGGCAATACATGCATACACATAAAATAAAAAATAATAAATATTTTTTTAAAGAATCGATATTTTTTTTAAAAACCTTCAAAAGGAATATATTGTCCTCTTTTGGTTTTTATCTTTTCCATAAAAAGCCAGAATTGGTACTCTTAAACTATGATTACTGATATCGCCAACACAAATATCAGGAGCTTATCCCCAGTGTTGTTCAACTGTGTCAGAGTAAAGCCAGTGAGCATTCAAGTCAAGAGATGAGTCATTAAGGCCATAACTAATGAAACTAGAAGTGTTCATAACTTTTAAATACAGTTTTCTGTTCTGTTACACTAAGTGAAGATGCTCACTTAATTCTCTTTTGCAAAGCAAATCTGGTTGCTTAAAAAGAAGGAATGTGAAACAGTATTGAAGCTACATTAAGAACTAAAAATAAATTTAAAATATTCATGTCATTTATTACATGGAAATATGCAGGTAAGACTGTAACATACAAAAAACTCTTACCATTGAAACGTCTGGTCTGTCTCCAGAATCCGGCTGGAAAAAAATTTAGATGTATCACTATTTTTAAATGCCACTGTCTATGTTTGGCAAAACTGAGATTACCCAGATTAAAGACAGACACTTTGAATTAGGAAAACCTTAATTATCAAGACAGGAAATGCAGACAGGTTTTGCCTTGCCGCTCTATGCACCTTCTCTGTGATGTGCAAAGTGATGAACTTGTGTAGCTTCTGTTCTCTTCATGCAGGCACTGCAGCATATCAATGGAGCATACATTCAGTATCACTTTATCTGCTTTTGGCCTTCAACAATGCGAGGAAATGTTAAGCCATAAGGGTGAAGAGAAAATTTTGTATTTCAATCCCTCCCTCTAAAGAACCGATGAAGAGATGAAATACAATGAGCCACCCAATCAGAGTAATGTTGGGAAAAGCCAGGGTCACACAACACACAGACATCATTTACATACAAACCCAAAATCTGCTGCAATAAAATAAATGCTAAATACAGATTGTGAATATATATATAATATTATTATATATACACACACACACTTGTTTTTCTCTATATACCCTATCACATAGGAACTGTTCAGATGTACTAAGGAAATTCAAAGTCCTTGCTTTGGATTTTTTTTTCTTTATCAATTTTTATTATAATTCTCTTAAAATACATTTTACTTATTTCTAAAAATCCCATACATGTATACAACCTATCTTGACATACCCACCCCAGCTTCCCCTAAACACCCCACCACAAGTCCCCCTTCCTTCCTTCCCTTCAAGTACACTCCTTTGTTTTCTTTTTTTTAATTTATTGAGCATTTCATACATGCATATAAGGTGCTTTGATCAAATCCATACCCACTCCCTCCCTCCCAATTCTTCCCATATCTCCCATTACTTTTTTCTCATAACTTCATATACTCTTTATTCTTCTTTTCTTTTTTTATGTGGCTTTTTGCTACTCTAACATCCCCCCCTCTGAAGAGGTAACCCTAAAATCTTTTAAGGATTAGATAAAAGCTCCCAAATACTTTAGACATTTTTGGCCTTTGGAACAGGGTATGTTGCTAAAAGGCCCAAGGATGTTGTGAAATAGCCAAGAAACTGGCTACTTTTCTTTGGGGTCTTTTTACCCTAACTGCCTAGCCAATTCCTACCTCCTATTCTTATCACACCATCCTCTGAAGAGGTTACCCAACTTGTGGATAGGGAATTGGGATCCGTGCTGAACAGGGACACAGGGTGAGGCAACTGGGGTACCCCTCCAGTGGGTCTATCTAAAAGACTGCCAAATTGCATCACTTTTGTCTCTAAGGGGAGAAGAAAGTCCTTGAATCATGAATGGAAGATGTGAAGGAGAAGTAAAGGCAAGAATAATTAGCATTACAAGTTCTAGACAGGGAACTAGAAAAAAGGGCAATTTTCAAATGTTCATATGAGAATCCACTGGAATTTCTTGACAAGGTTTCCAAAAGCATCCTTCTATTGGGTTTCTCCTCATTTTTCTTTTGTCTTCCAAGGCTGAACTCGAGAGTGATGGATTCAAGATTTGCTTTCAGGTATATTGATAGCTGTTGGAGTGGTTAGAATCAGTGTCAGTTCCCTCTCAAAGACTTCTAGATAGGGGGAGAAAACAAATTTATCCATCATTTTAGAACAATAGCAGGCTGTCTCCCTTAGCTACAGGTGGGCACTACAGTATTGCAGACCAAGATTTAAAGTCTTTTACATCTGAGCAGCACTTTCTAATTAGGAACAAAATCATTAATGAGAAATAATTGTTCTTAAGACATTTTTTAGTGGTATTTACAATATTGTTGATTTAACTTTTTGATGGTTTCAATTAAGGTGTGGTAAGAATTTAGGATAGGTATTAACATCTTTCTCAAGTATGATACATCTTAGTCCAAATCTCAAATCTAACATTTATTTGGATAATGCTCATACGTAATTCTTCCCTGTGATCTTTATCTTTAGCTCTCTGAGCTCTGCTTTTAGACGAAACCTTTTTCCACAGAATTTGAATCACTGCATTGCCTGGATTTGGATTTAAAACTAGACACAGCATTTATTTCTTGTATCTTCTAAAGCATTTAAAAGGTAGTTTGTAGACTAGGGAGATTATTCAGTTGTTAGTACCTGAGTTCTACCCTAAGAACCCATGTAAAAAATGTCAGACACGGGCTGGCTCAGTGGTTAAGAGCACTGACTGCTCTTTCAGAGGACCCAGGTTCAATTCCCAGCACCCCCATGGGAGCTAACAACCATCTGTAACTCCAGTTCCAGGGGATCCGATACCCTCTTCTGACCTCTGTGGGCATTGCATGACACAGGTATGCCTACCTACATGCAAGCATTACACTCATACACATAAAATTTAAAAGATAATGATAAATAAAAAATATTTTTTAAAAAATGTCAGACACATGCCCACTTCTAATGGAGATGGAAACAATAAATCCCTGGGGCTTACTGGCCAGTCAGCCTTGCCCAATGGGTGAGCTCCTGGTCAGTCTCAAAACAAGGTGATCAGCGGCCTAGTAACAATACCCAAGGTTGTTCTATGTTCTCTACCATGTGCACATAGGTGCATGTGCACACATACACATACACACCACACATACACACACACACACACACACACACAAAGGTAGCTCAAGCAGTGCATATGACAATGCTTAAAGAGTACAAAATAACTTGGAGATTAAGTTATCTTCTCTTCTGCTTTTTTTCCAGCTACAAGAGACTGTGAAAAGGAAGTTGGAAGGAGCCCGATCACCACTTAATGGAGACCAGCAGAATGGTGCTTGCGATGGGAGTTTCTCTCCAACTAGCAAACGCATTCGAAAGGATATACCCTCGGGGATGGAAGCCATCAACAATTTGCCCAACAACATGCCACTGCCTTCAGCTTCCCCTCTTCACCAACTCGACCTAAAGCCTTCTTTGCCCTTGCAGAACAGTGGAACTCACACCCCTGGGCTTCTAGAAGATCTAAGTAAGAATGGTAGGCTCCCTGAGATTAAACTTCCTGTCAATGGATGTGGTGACTTGGAGGATAGCTTTGCCATCTTGCAGAGCAAGGACCTCAAACAGGAGCCTCTGGATGACGCTGCTTGCATTGACACATCAGAAACATCACTCTCTAATCAGAACAAGCTGTTCTCGGACATTAACCTGAACGACCAGGAATGGCAAGAACTAATAGATGAGTTGGCCAACACAGTTCCAGAAGATGACATCCAGGACCTGTTCAATGAAGACTTCGAAGAGAAGAAGGAGCCAGAATTCTCACAGACCACCATGGAGCCCCCTCTCTCCCAGGAGAGTGCAAGTGTGAAGAGTGATCCTTCTCACTCTCCTTTTGCACATGTCTCTATGGGGTCACCCCAGACCAGGCCGTCATCTTCTGGTCCTCCCTTTTCTACTGTCTCCACAGCCACTAGCTTACCTTCTGTGGCTAACACTCCCGCGGCTCCAAACCCCACCAGCTCACCAGCAAACTGTGCTGTCCAGTCCCCTCAAACCCCAAACCAAGCCCACACTCCAGGCCAAGCTCCACCCCGGCCAGGCAATGGTTATCTCCTCAACCCAACCTCAGTGACAGTAGCCGGTTCAGGGTCAGGCCCTGTGGCAGTGCCCAGCTCTGACATGTCCCCAGCAGAGCAGCTCAAACAGATGGCTGCCCAGCAACAACAGAGGGCCAAACTCATGCAGCAGAAGCAGCAGCAACAGCAGCAACAGCAGCAACAGCAGCAGCAGCAGCAGCACTCAAATCAGACTTCGAGCTGGTCTCCCTTGGGGCCTCCGTCTAGCCCATATGGAGCAGCTTTTACGGCAGAAAAACCAAATAGCCCGATGATGTACCCCCAAGCCTTTAACAACCAAAACCCTATAGTCCCTGCAATGGCAAACAACCTGCAGAAGACGACAATGAACAACTACCTCCCTCCAAATCACATGAATATGATCAATCAGCAGCCAAATAACTTGGGTACAAACTCCTTAAACAAGCAGCACAATATTCTCACTTACGGCAACACTAAACCTCTGACCCATTTTAGTGCAGACTTGAGTCAGAGAATGACGCCTCCTATGGCCAACCCCAATAAAAACCCCTTGATGCCATACATCCAGCAGCAGCAGCAACAGCAGCAGCAGCAGCAGCCTCAGCCACAGCAGCAGCAGCCACAGCAGCAGCAGCCACAGCAGCAGCCACCTCCACCGCAGCTCCAGGCTCCCAGGGCACATCTGAGCGAGGACCAGAAACGCATGCTTCTCATGAAGCAGAAAGGAGTGATGAATCAGCCAATGGCTTATGCTGCACTCCCTGCCCACAGTCAGGTGAGTAAGACAGTGAAACACACTGGGAGCAGTTCTTAAATGAGTGTCAGGCTGTCTATATGTGCGATGCTCACCAGGCCTTGGCTGGAGAGGGTTCCAATTACCATCAGAAATTCCCTGTGAACTTTGGTGATTTCTTCTAAGCGATGGGAAAGGGTAGCCTAATAATTTTCTTATATTTGAATGCCTAAGAATCAAATCTCCTACATTCCTGACTGCAAAAAAGAAATTTTAAAATTACATCAAATTCGCACTGTGATGAAGGCTGCTGTAGAGGTCACATGACTCAACATGGCACACCTCTGTGGTTTTCTTTTCAGTTCATCCAATCTCAGGTTCAATGTAATAGGAAAACGGCCAATTAAGCCTGTCCGTCGCCACTTAATAAGGTCCTGAGCAAACGTCAGCTATCTTATTAGGTTACGAATGATGGAAAATATGGATTCTTGACGTCTAAATATCAGAGAGTTTTCTGTATTTTCAAAGTGAATGGGGGTGGGGCGGGGTGGATCTTGTAAGACCACTCAATATTTGAACATTTGCTGCTGCACTGGCAACAGGTAGATGTCTCAATCACATTACTTGGAGTACAGGGATCCCTGTCCAAGCCATTAAGCTCTATTTCAGGAAGTTTTGATGTTGAGTATGTCTCAGTGCTACACTAAAATGAACTTTCTTCTCTGGCCTTGTCTTTCTTTGTGAGGTCTGGTTTGGAAGATGGGACTGTAATACCTGGGAAACACCAGTTGGGGAGTAAATATTTGGCTCTCCCTAGGCTAGCCAGTGGATAGTACCTGAGGATCCTTTACACTGTACCATCCAGAAAGAAAAAGAAACAAAACTGGAGACATGTACCTTAGAGTGATTTTTCTCCAACACGAACAAATTCATGGGGGGACACTTTACTTCCCGTGGCTATTCTGTGCCGGGGTCTTTTTGAAATGCAGACAGGGGCTTCTGACTGGAGATTGTAAACCCTCAGGTTTAAACCAGTGTCTGTAAGTGGATGCATTAGGGAAAGTGAGGTATCATGCAGGCAGATCTTGCTTCACTTGGAACTAGATGACTTTGCATCTTGTATCTCCCAGAGTGCACAGCTCCACCCTCAACCCCTATTCTCCACCCCCAGCCCGGGGCTTGATGGAAGCCACAGGGCTGGAAGTGGTGCTGGCCTGCACAGACAGGCCTGAGCTCTGTGGCTTCATTCTTGTCCTTCACAGCCTTCCAACCCCCAAACCTCACAGTGGTTTCTTGTCTACACATGCCAGCTAGATTTAAAGAAATCCCGTCTGAATAAATGAAAGTATGGCTTGGTTTTCATCAAGTGCAATTGGTAGCTGTTAGAAAAACATCTTTGAAATGTGGACTTTGATATTTTGTAATGGTTTTATTAAAATACAGAAATATATGCCAATGGAAAATGCAACCTTTTATACACTTAAAGATTAAGTTCTGAAGTAGGCAAAAATAGAGGCGATATATATGCAGAGATGGTTGTGGTAACCCAGATGCATCACGAGGTTTATGAGTTCACGGGCTGTCAAATGACCCATTGTTAATCTTAATACAAATTGTGCTCCTACTCTCGCTGCCTTTACTCCAGTATTTCTTCTGAACTAGACTAAGGATGATTAATTACAACTCACAAGTTTGGCAGACATGTGGGTACAGTGATGCCCCACCATCCTCCCCAGCCCTTACTAACCTCTTTCAAAATGTGCTAACTTGGGACAAAATCTTTGCTTGGAACATGAGTTTCAAAGGTGATCATTTGGGGTCCTGAAGCATGCCTGTGAATCACTGCGGCCTTTAGCTGCAAGGATCACATTTTAAAAGGGCTCAGTCAGGTGACGAGCTCTCGGCACAGGCTGCTTCTCCTCCCTCTCCGGAGGGGCTTTTTCGGGACAGGATCTTCCCTGGGAAGGCCTCATTACAATAATCTCTTTTAACCTAAAGCACTGGCAGGTAAAAGCAAGCATGCCTTTTAAATGAAATAGTACCCCACCACCATTTAAAACAAGTTTCAAATATATAAGCATGTGAATATCTTTCTGCAAACACACCGTTTATTTCATGTTTTTATCTGATTGTGGACCGGTATTTGCATAGTTATGCTGTACACAGTCACATGGCACAGATTCTGGCACGAATTACAAGGCAAGAAATAAACATAATTCCATGTTGTTTTCTGCTTTGCTAGTGAAAATTCAGTTTCCCCTTGCCTGACCCAAAGACTGTGATCAACACTTGTTTTAATGAATGGTATAAGCACCAAACATAGTATGAGAATATTAGACACATTTATTTCAAGAAAGCTGTGCAGATAGTAACTTGCTTGGAACCCTTGTAGAAATTGCAGTTTCTCCCAGAAATAAGTAGAAATGCACTTACTTTCTGGATATTAAAAAAAAAAAAAAAAGCAAACCCAAAATAGAAACATACATACCAAGAAGTGGACAGATTTTATTGAGGAATTCTAGTCAGAATTTTCATGTTGCTCCTCATTATGATCAGACTGAACAAAAATTGGTGTTACTTGTGATAGTGAAAAATTGGGAACTGTTTTGGACAAGTACATAATATACATGAATATTGTGATATTAACAAATGATTGTTCATAATGAAACACCCCTAATGAGTAAAATAAGCAGATCATAAAACAGTTTATGTGTTACAAACCAGATTATGTTGCTTAATAGTGTAGAAAAGTGCTGAGTACCTAAAATGTGGTGTTTCTGTTGTGTGATTAGTATTTTCCTCTTCATTGTTTACTGACTATTCTGAATTTTCTCATACATGTGTCTTCATTCTACCACCAGGAAATACATTTTTTAAGTAAAGAAAACTCCCTATTTTAAAAAATACAAGTTTACCTTCTTTTTTTAAACGAATACTTAGAGTTGAATTGCTTAGCAGTTGGATTGAGCTAATATTATTTCCTAGTTATTAGTGTATATTAGTTATGAATCCCTGCTCTAGTGGATAATTCTAAGCCTTTCTTCCATACTTAGTATTTTTCATCTGTCCTTCCTTCTTCCCTCCCTCCGTCCCTCCCTCCCTTCCTTCCTTCCTTCCTTCTTTGTCTTTTGAGACAGGGTCTCCCTGTAGCCCCAGCTGGCCTAGTACTCACTATGTAGACCAGGCTGGCCTTGCTCATACAGATCCGATAGCCTCTGTCTGGGATTAAAGGCCTGTGCCACATACCCAGCTTCTTTCCCTTTTTCTTACTGCATCCCCTCTTCCTTCTTAATTCCTGTAAAAAGCTAAAGTTATGACATTAGAAATATCAATAACATTTCTGCCATTGTCCAGTGTCCCCTATTCTCAGGAACATGCTCTTGCATTATTTCTTTTGTCATCCCTCTTTTTTTCTGTGTTCTTTTCTTTTAAATAGCTTTCTGGATCTAATCATCATAACTGAACCTCCTGGATTGATGTCTAATATTTTTTTTTTTTTTATCTTTTTGAGACAGGGTCTCCCTGTAGCCCCAGCTGTCCTGGAACTCACTATGTAGACCAGGCTGGCCTTGAACTCACAGAGATCCGCCTGCCTAGGCCTCCTGAGTGCTGGGATTAAAGGCATGCGCCACCACACCCGGCTGATATCTAATTTTTTAAATACATATTTCTGGGATAAATACCCCACACTTGCTCTGCTCTATTATATTTTCCTAATTGCTGTTTCTCACAGACAAGCTATCTCTTGCTCTCACTCTTGCAGCTAATTTTTGCATACCGCTCAACCCACTGTATTAAACTCAAGGATGTTTAATAAACCATTTGAGGAATCATTAACATTTCGACCAGAGATGTTTTCTGTTGGCTATGGGCTTCGCTGGAGAGCCATGGGCACAAATGACACAAAGCTGCTTTTGAGATCAAATAGAAGAACTGGAAAAGCCAGTCTAAAAGAATCCCTTGATAGGGGTGGTTATCTTGAACCAGCAGTGCAACAAGGAGATTGCTGGGAAGGTGAACTCAAGCCTTATCTCTGACAAACAAAAAACAATGGAGCAGCTATGAAAAAACATAAACCAAAGGCTGTGACCCCAGCTGGCCAAGGGAGGTCACAGGCTACTGGGAGCACAAGAAGTATTCCTACACAAGTGACAATTTCTGAAGTGTGATATAACTTCTAGTCCTGGCAGTCACAGGTCTGGATAAATGGCTCACTGCCCTGCTGCTTTGTTTCATATGTATCTTCTGTGTGTGGCTGTGTGCTTTCATCTTTATGTTTCCAGAATGTGTGAGCTACCTGTAACATCTCCGTCAGAACATCAGCCTTCCAGTTTTCACAGCCATCTGGAAATCTCTTTGAACATCTTTAACTTTAAAACCAGGAGCATCCTTAAATATATGTGCTCACTTTCCAAGAAGCACATGTACGTAGCTCCAAGTCAAATGGTACTTACTGCAAGACCTTGAATGAAAAGCAGCAAACCTCTGCCCCACTCAGCCTTCATCATTTCTAGCTTGCAAAGCGAGTCACTCAGTTCACTAAGTTGTTTTCTTATTTATCTCCACAAACTACTCTTTCTCCATTTTTCAACTACTTAGTTCTTTAGAAAATTAGTCTTTAGTTCACTTACACTGCTTATTCACAAATATATAATGACATCCCCCAGTCTTTTTCTCTTCCTATAGTCTAAATACAGCTAATTCCATCACAAATTGTTATTTAAAAGCAATTCTGCATTTACATGACTAAATTTTGTATGGTATCTTGATTTAATCATGTAATATACTATCATTATATTTTAATTTGTTATATAACTTTAAGAATTATTTACTTTTGCAGTGCTGAGGATCAAAAGCAGAGCCTTGCACTAAGAAGACATAATACCACTGAGTGTGGTGTCACATGCTTTTAATCCTAACACTGGGGAGACCAAGGCAGGCAGATGTCTGTGAAATGAAGGCCAGCCTGGTCTACATAGGGAGTTCTAGACCAGCTGGGGCTACAGGGAGACCTTGTCTCAAAAAGCAAAACAAAAATCCAA